ACATTTTTAATCGTCTTGAATTACGCACTCACGGTAGCTATGTAATTCACCCCTTTACACGATAAAGTTGTTAAAATTAACACAACTTTGATTATAAAAAGCTCGTCTTAAACATAAGTTGTGCTTGTTCAATAGATTTTTAACCTTAACAAATAATAATTTATGATATATTTTTGCATTAATAAATAATAATTTAAGTATATCAAGGATGATAATAAGATTAATATTTAGAGTAACAGAAAGTTGCTTCGGATGAAATCTGGTATTTTTTAGAATAAGACCATTTAAGTTTATCGGCGGACTCACATCTTCAGAGTACATTAAGATTTTGTATACTTTACTTTTTATTAAAATCCAACAAAAGGCAGGTGCAGCCGTGCAGCTTATTCCTGGTAACGTATTACTTGAATATTTTGTAATTATTTTAGAACTATCATGATAAAAATTGGGTAAATTTTTAAAGTTATTCAGTTTCATCCACTAAACAGTTTTTTAAAGTTCTTTTTTAAAAAGTTTATTTTTGTCAAAAATTAAAAAATTACGGAGCACGATTATTTTCTCACTAATGCCGCGAAGAAAATTCGTATATTATTCAACTAACTTCATCTACTTGTTCTCATATACAGCTAACTTCACATATACTACTTACCGATGGCAGTTCAGGGACAGGCGGGCTATACTTTAGCATGTAGCTATCGTTCTCCTTCTCTCTAACCTCAATGGAGGCAGCATATTCTACTATAGAAATAATAGTTATACAAATACGTAGACAGAAAAACCTATAGACTAATGATTAGCATGGCTTCGAGTGAGAAAGGACGATAACGTAGTTTTAGGTTATACAATTATCTTTATGACTTTTAAACATATTTAGATAAAAATTTTCATTGTTCTAAGAACTGACCTGAACAAGATTCACCAATCTTACGCTCACAGAACACTTTTTTTCTCACTTAAGGGAGATAACTACAGTTTGTTAATTGCTTATTTTGACAACACTTTCGTGTGACGTCATCCATGCGCGACTGTGTCACCTTGTTAAGCGCCGAGTTTTGTGATAGATCTGCTGTGAAATTGTTGCATGCTAAAAGCTTATTTTGGTATAGTGCAGTGCCTTCATCTTAGTAGGTGTTTTTCTTCTATGTATATTTTATTATGTTACTAGATGACCCCAACCACCTAAAATTGATTTGATTGTAACATTTGATCCTTAAATTAAAATGATTTTGTGAAGCATAATTTCATCACATCACGTGTTATAAATACTTTTATATTTTGACAGTAATTCATTGAATGATTATTTAGATTGTGTCACTGTTCACTTATAATATTGTAACGTTTTCAGCATATTTCTAGGCAAATAAGTGTCTTACAACTTATTTCAAGTATAATGGTAGGAATGTATTTTTTAAATTATTACTTTATGTAAAATGCATAATTTAGTAATTTATTTAGCCAATATAAAGACTGCTAACAAGTTTTGTAATTATTAAAAATCCCAGTATATGTATGTTTGTTGCTACTAGTTGGGGGAGAAACAACAAAAAACTTTATCTTTCAGGAATTACCTTCAGTATGCTTCTATTAGAGTCGTTATTTAAATAATTAAAAAAACCTTATCAATTGCTGATTAGAATATATTGCGAGATTTGTAGCAAAAAAAAAAGGTTCAGATACTATGCAAGAACAAGCAGTGACAAATTGTCTTATAGAAATTATATTAAAAAATAATTTTATTCAGAAATGAATAAATAATAATAATTAGAGTTTTTATAAAAATCTGGCATAATCATGCCAGATATTTGTGTGGATGAAATATGATATCACAGGATAACTACCAACAAATTGCTCCCTTCAGTTCCATACTGTTCAAGAACTAAAAATAATGGAGTTTCTAGAAACGACATAGTTCACGTAAAAACTATTGTCGTATTATTCCTGTTATATGCACGTAGTTGTGCCACCAAAAACTTTTTTGGCTATCTATCCTATTTTGTCTTAATTTCTATCTTTAAAAAGCCGTAAATCTGTCAGTCACTTTTATTCCCCAGATAAGTTATTTGACGATTGAATGTTCAGCCCTGTATCCATGTAAATACTTACGGAGTAAAGTAAATTAAGCAACAAATCCGAATATATAAAATGAGAAAAAATTCATATTAGTTAAAATACCGATATCAGCTTATTGCATATTGCTGAGTTAAACCCGATAAAAGGCGGCCATTTTATGCGCTAGATTTTTGTAGGTAATCACGCTAATTATGTAGGTATGCCCAGTCCATATACTTCTAAGTCAGTGACACAAAAGCCTTAAAACTGTCAGTCACATTTATTCCTCAAATAAGTTATTTCACGATTGAAAATTCAGCCCTGTACCTATATAAATACCTACGGAATAATGTATGTTAAGCAACAAATTCGATTATATGAAATGAGAACAAATTCATATTAGTTAAAATATCGATATCAGCTGCGCATATTACTGAGTTACAACTCTATAAAAGACAGCCATTTTATGCGCCAGATTTTTGTAGGTATGCCCACTTCATAAACTTCTAAGGTCCATCACACGCTATATACGGTATTTCGTTTCGGGATTCCGAAACGGAGCAAACGGGTTGGCCACACATTTACGGAATCCCGTTTTGCCCGCATAATTCCGTACGGAAAACTACCGTAGGTGTGTGACGGGTCATTGATTTTATATGGACTTGCTGCGTTCGGAATCCCGAATCAGTTTTCCGTATATATGTGGCGAGCCTAAGGCCGGCCACGTACATACGGAATTCATTTTTGAGATTCCGTTTCGTAATTTCGATTCGGGATCCATTGGTACATACATTCATCACACACATACGTTTTTTTCCGTTCAGAATGACTAGGCTCAGTTGAGTGATGCCAACCATTGAGTACAGATATTCAGCCAGTGAATATGGACAACGATATTGCGAATGCATTGTTGTTGTATTTAGCCAAGAAGAAAAAATATTGCCACCGTTACTAGGTGCATCCCCATAACACCCTAAGATCACAAGATAGCCAGTATTATGTAACAAGAGCCAAATTACAAGCCTATCCAGAATTTTTTTATAGGATAGTGTGAAGTAGTTAGTTGTAGGAAACAAGCACACAGTCAACCTGATGGTAATTCATCTATCCTCGATTACGAATCAGAATGCAGATACGTTGTCACCCGTGAGGACTGAGATGGAACGCCTCGTTTCCAGTAAAAAGAACGTTCTCTACACTCACCATACGAAACACAGCAGCATTAATCTACTATTTTACGCTGGTATTTTGTGAGAGCGCGGTCCTTCCCCGGTCGAGCCTACCAATCCGTGCTTTAACTTAATACTAATATAACTATAGCAAGGCCCTACCGCGTATAAAAATTCTATCAGATTTTTTTTTAAATACTATCGGATGTCTATAAACTTTTTCGATAAATTATTTCATTTCTTAATGATGAGCTAGAGGGAACAGTAACAGGGGTGCAAGAATCATGTTGAGCGTAAAGTCTATGGTGCTTAAGTCTTATTATGGAAATGACGAATCCACGTTTTTTCTGCCCTCAGGGCGATCAAATATTGCACTTCATTTTTAAATGGCGCATTTAAAAATGAAGTGCAATATTTGACAGATTTAATAGTGGGGGAGTTAATTTGTTCGACAAATATAAAGTATAACGTTTGTTTTTGTACTATTAGTTATATTTTATAATAATTAGATTAAAAATAAATAAACCAAACCACCGAGGCATTGTTTTGTGTACTAATATATTGCTCTAGAAACTGATAAACTGTTATTTAAAACTATCGTCCCAATTAAATAATATTGTATGAAAAATTAAAAAAAAAGAAAACTGACAAATAAATTTAGTAGTGCAATTCTTTTGAACTGAACTGCTATATTTTTCTCCCTTTAGAGTCTGACTCTACAGTGAGTCTCTGTAGAGTCTACATCGCCTGAGGATGCCTTGTGTAGAAGTGAAACACGTGTCGTATTTTCGTCGATGGTGTGTCTTTTCTGGAACAGTGGTGATGGGAGTAGTGGTGATGGGAGTAGTGGTGCCGGGAGTAGTGGTGTTGGGAGTAGTGGTGCTGGGATTAGTGGTGACGGGATTAGTGCACGCAATTGAGGGAGGGCGGGAGGTGCTCTTCAGTCTAGGTAAGACACATCATTGTATTCAACTAAGCGGATGGTAGTGAATTAAATATTAATACCTTTTATTCTTCATGATGAAAAATATAATCTTCCGTGTACTAGATCACCCATTCGCTTCGGTTGTGCGACCCACACTGGGCACGTTCCGTATGGAATACACGAATGTGTGTTGCGCCTCATATAAAATCTATAGAACACTTACGTTCGGAGCGGCTTTTTTCCGATCGGGATTCCGAACGCACAGGCAGTCGTACGAAATCCCGAATCGGAGAAATTCCATACGGAAAAATACCGTACGTGTGTGGCCGTTCATTGATTTTATATGAACTTGCTGCATTCCGGCTCTCGAATCGGAATTCCGAAACGGAATCTCGAAACAGAATTCCGTATGTATGCGGCGGGCCTAAGTTTTTTGGAGCTATGTAAGGCGTATAGATAATAGAATACCATAGATAACAGTGTATATACGGAAAATAGAATACTAAACACAAAACCACAGAGTAATTTGAATCTCAATAATCCACCTCTTAGTAGTCTGTGCAATAATCCGAAACACAAAACGGAAGAAGAGCGCGTGGAAGCCATCTTGTATTTAATATGGCGGTTGGTCACATTTCTTAAACTTATGTGGTTGTTATTGCGGTAAAATGTGAAATGTATTTAAAAATTTGGATATCACATTTGTTGAAAGTTTCTAAAAAATATGTTTATTGATAAGGACTTGAATATCAAATTGTCATATTCGCTAGCATAGTTTTTCTGGCCGCTATCAGCCCCTGAAGGGCTTCACCTAAGTCGGTGCTTCTAATTTTATTGATTTTTCGTTATAATCAAACATGATGATGTACACGGTAAGATTATGTATTTTGTTATTTCATTTAAACGCTTGAGATATCTCAAAATTTTGATATTGTAGTGTTTAAATTAATCAGTATACAGTACAGGGTTAGCCCAACTAATTCGGCTGTAGTTATTCATCAAATGTCTATTCAATAGGATGATTGTAAAAACATGAAAATAGTTTTGTTGAATTAACAAAGTACTTAAGTCTAGGGATATTTCGCTTTTTACTCTTGAATATTTCTTTCTTCAATGATGTTTATACAGGTTGTATTACTTTACTTTTTACTAAAGATTTCATGCAAGGTGACTTTACAATGATTTAGAGGCCTCTGCAATCTGATGGTAAAGGTCTTCAAAAAGACTGGGAGTAGTCACTTTTGAGAGCTAAATTCCATCATCTATTGGCAAATTGATCAAAATAATGAGGAAATGAACAGGGTCTTAGATTAAGGTCTAAGTCTTAAATAACAAATATGAATGAATATTACTGGTGATAAAAACTGACAGTGATGTAGAAACTGCATGTTCATAATTTGCTGGAGGCCTCATAAATATATCAGGATTATAGAATTGCTATGAGGCAACAAGAGAGTTTAAATCTCCTACTAAAATGTCAATCGCAGCTCATGTGTGTATGGCAACATTAATAGTATAAGGGTGCTATCTCTGTGTATACCAAATCGTTTGGCAAGTTCACTGAGTAAAGGTAAATCTTATAAAAATATGTGTGCTGTTTGTTTCCTAGTGTCGATGCCCATAATTCCAGCCCATAAGGTTTATAGTGGTCTTAATTAAAAATATTTTAGCTTACATTTTTTTGCAATAAATAGTAAATACATTTTGAATTTTATCACACAGTTTTATATTTGTTAGTGCAATTGGCAACATTTTTTTTCCCTAATTTTTGGACAAGTTATGAAACTGATTAAATAAGGCTTATTGGACATTATGTGAAATTTAGGCTTTCTGATGTGATATGAATATGACTATAAATATAGCAATGTAGTTTGTCTTTTAATGGAAATTGATAGGGGCTGTAATTAGATACATAAATAATTAGCTTACCAGCCAGACGTTGTTCTGCCCTTTTCAACGACCCTTTGTCATGTCCTATTAAAAATTCTTAAATTCGCAAAAAAAAAATTGTGGGTCACTCATGGGCAAAAAAAAAACTATCCTATCTCTCAAGTTGGACCAAACTGAACACGGTGTGCAAATTTGATTAAAATCTGTAAAGTATTTTAAGAGTCCATCGCGGACAAACAATGTGACACGTAATTTATATATATTAAGATATGGTGTGCATTATATCAGCCTTCAGGTGTTATTTTGTTTGTCACATAATTTAAATCAGTAGGGTTGTTGCGCTGGTTTTCGGCCTTTTAGTGGAGTTGTCAACTTTAAGGTACTATAAAAAATAATAGCGATTATGTTGACCTAGTGTTGTTAATGTTAATTTATAGCTTATATAATGTAGTTTTCATTTTGATAACTCATTGATGCTACAAAAGAAATCTATTTTTATAATAAATTTTGATGTGAAAAATATGCAAAACGCTAGTGTTCGGCCCCAAATTTTAGATTTCGGCCTACAAGAATTTTAGTTTTCGGCCACTGTATTAGAAGAGGTACTATAAACTTAAAACACAATACAACTTTTTGGGTGTGTTTTTGATATAAAATAATAACCATGATTAATTATTTCTCTTTGAATCATGTCTAATAACAAATTGTTTTAAATATAGCAATCAAATATTCTCATTTACGAGTATTTTGTACTTCCTCATAAGTATTTTAGTTTAACAAAATCTGTTACCATCTCTAACCATTCTCATCTCTAACCAAGAGGAGCCATCTGAAGAATTTCTTATTGAATCTTCTTCCTAAAACGCAATGTGAATAAAATATTTGATAAGATGAAATGGCCGTAAACGTAAACTAAGACAGCATTCCATTTTCCGCCGCCTTATTCTTTCACACAATTTTAAGTTGGCCGAAAACTAAATTGTAATTATTTTAGTCAATCCAGTTTTCGGCCACGACCGAAATGGGTATTTTGTTCCATCACTAACTGTTCAAATTGCAGTACTTGGTGGCCGAAAACTGAAAGTTAGTGTCTACGCACGCTACGATTCAATATAAGTAAGAAAGATGAGTTATAGTACGTAACCAAATAAACGAAAGAGACAAAGACAACCAAATAATGGGACAATTTTGTGCGTCACTGTTCAGCCACTTAGTTTCTTAACTTTATCAATAAATTATTATAATAATCAGTGTCAAATAACTATATTAGGTTATTTATACAGTGAAATATAGGCACAATATTAAGTAATTATATTAAATACAGCATGAAACTTACTTTTGAATGGAACGCTCGCCACTATTTTTTTTGCTCGATCTTACCCGTTTTGATAGCTTCAGTGTCGGCGTCAAACTAAACTATTTATTATAAATCGCGTGTTGTGTTTACCTGATTAATTAATGCTACCAGATATAGTGAAACTATTTACAAATGCATTAAACTGTATTTCGTACGATAATATTTATTAAAATTGTTATTAAATCAAATTTACTGCATCAGCTCATGCCAAAGGCCGAAATCTAGACCCGGCCGGCTTACCGGCGCATCGACCCTATCATAATGTGGAATAAATATCAACTTATTTTTGAAGATCTATTAGTGCAATCTTTTCTTTGATATGAGTTGGGCATTGATCATAGGTTCCCTTCAATTCCTTAAAGTTACTAAATCATTCTACCAATTTTGAAAGATTAGGTTTTGATAAAGTTTTAGTAGAAAAGTTTTTAATTGTTAAACTACTTATGCAGCTAATTAAACATCTTGTATAACAGGGAAGAACTTTTTTTGACTAAATGTGGTCACTTTATTGGGTTATTACCTCAAGTAATTTTCTTTCTACTGCGAATTCCCCTTATTGAATTAGATCACTGGGAAAAGCGTCAAAAATGCATTAAGATGTACTATTAAAATGATTTTTGATTTTTTTACACTTATTGGGGTTTAATACGGTATATTATTACTCTTACCATAAAAACACTTTTAAATTAAGAAAATATCTTTTATTTTTTAAATTATCTTCTTCCTGCTTGTATCCCTTAATTATTTGGGGTCAGCGAAGCATGTCTTCCTCTTCCATTCTCCTCTATTAGTCATCATCCCTTCACTCCTACCTTATGTATTTCACCTATAATACAGTCCGCCCACCTTCTACTAACATCCTTATACTCTTATATCAATCTACTTTCATAGCGAACATTATTCTTGCTACATAGTTTATTTCTCAATTTATCTGTGAGTTTTTTTCACTGTTTATAAGTGAAAAGTTATAACAGTAAAAGAAAGAAAACTACCTGAGCTAAATTCGTTTTTGACTTACTTAATTTCAACTCCTTACATATCCATCTTCACATTTGTATTTTGGAGTATATTTACTCTTCTTTCATCTGTCTCTTGTAGGTCATAGCTTAGCTTCAAGCTTCCATACAATATGACAGGAAAACTGCTGATCACAAGTTGGTCCTCCCTTCCTGTTCCTATATTATGTCTATGTCTAACTCACCATCATTTTGTATCTATGATATTTGCCTTGCTTTGTGTTTTTAATATATTTAATAGTAATATTTCTTTCTTAAAGCAGTGACTGTTGTTTAAAAACTATACTCTCACCTGGGATTGGGAGAATGTCAGTGACATTTCTGACTCAACCATCTGAGGTCTAGTGGAATTATTATTGATGTTTTAAATTATAAATAATTTGTGTACAGGGAACCAGTACTGAGCAAGACACACGCTTCAGTGACAAGGAGAAAAAGCTGATGAAGCAGATGAAATTTGGAGATTGCTTGACTCAACAGGTTCATGTTTATATATTTCTAAGCCTACTTCTAAGCCACATATCGGGATAGCAGGAAGTGCTATTATAGGACATGGCTCTTTTAACCATTTCACTGTCCCATGAGTCATATATGAACATTTCGATTGTTTAACTATTGTGTCTATTTCGTGGACAGGGAAGTTGTTAACAAACATTTATTTACTATAGGTGTTACAGATAGTCCCCTGTGCAGGGCATATATGGGGGAGGAGGAAACGGTGGCCCATGTGTTGCTCGCTTGTCCGGAGGTAGTTGCATATAGGGCTAAATGTCTCAGCATGCTGGGATAATTTCCCGAAGTTGCTTGCAACGTCAAAGGACTATTCAACTTCTTCAGGGAGATTTCATGGCTCGAATAATTTATAATATTCCTACCCAGACGCAAAATACGCGCCTAGACGTGACGTGGAATTGCTACTACTAAGCCTACTACGCCTGCAAAATCAAATTGCTTTTCTCGTTGTAGGGGGAACATCCCATGTTACTCTTAAGTGTGTATCTGTACTATTGCACTTTTGATGTTGCTCCCTGTTGTTTGTCTAGGTATTTTAAGCCTTTTGTAAAAAAGATTGTTATATATTTGTATCTTTTTGATATTTTGACATCTAACATGATGCCCTTGCGATATCCAAACCCTGCCAAACTTATATGCAACTCAAAAAAAGTTGTTATTTGAATTTGCACAAATACATTTACAATTAACAATTAGTGTTGTTTGGATTAGTTGATGCATGAATGAAATTGTATAGAGAAAATTTAATAAAAAAGAAAAAAAATGTGCGGCACTAAGCGTTTGTCAATGCTCACCGCAGTTTGGATTCCGGCATGGATCAAGTGTTTGTATAGTCTACGAAAATTACTCAGACTTGTCTGTTATTTGATCTGCAATTTATGTGTATAAAACACCATTCTGCAAGTCTTATCTCGAATATATATTAGGTCTTTACCTGTGAAATTGCTGCTTTTTATAAAATAGGTTAAATCATTTTTTTCTATATTTTTTATTTCTTTAATTAAAGTAGTCACCCATGCAATCGATGCATCTTTGCCAACGCAGTGGCAGTTGTACTGCTTTTCAGGTATTGAATTTTTTTTCCACCAAAAGGCGCAAGGTCTGGTGAGTACAGCAGATGATTCCTTCCAACCCCAGCTTGCTAACTTGAAGAACGTCTGTTGTGCAGTATGAGGTTGCGCGTTGTCGTGAAGGAGCAGCGCTCATCCTGTTTGGTAAGAAGCTGTGATGAATCACACTGGCGCTAGTCAACCAAACAATGACCTTCACTTTTCTAGGGGTAAGTTTTCGTTTAGGGCATTGTTTAGGTGCTGAACCAGGATCCAACCAACTTGCTGAGCACTTGCAATTGTCAAACAGAATCCATTTTTCATTGCAGGTAACAATGCGGTTTAAAATTCCTTTGTTTGTATGCCTGTTAAGCAGTACAAGGCACGTCTCGACGCGTACTTCGCGCTGGTGATCATTGAGTTCGTGGGACACCCATTTGTCAAGCATTTTACCTTGCCAATTTGACGCAAATGGACCAATATTGTTTTGATGCTAACGTCGAAAGCTGCTGCTAGTTCAGTCGTAGATTTAGTATAATTTCTTCCACAGTAACATTTAATTCTTCATTGTCGACCAAAGTTTTCGGACGAGCTGGGGGTTAATTTTTCAGATCGAAATTTCCAGAACGGAAGTGGGCAAAACAATAACAGATGGTGCGTTCGTTTGTAGTATTCGCTCCGTAAACAACGTTGATGTTGCATGCTGTTGGTGCCGCGTTGCTGCCACGACGGTACTCATATTCCATAAATACTCGAATTTTCAACGTATACATGATGACGAAAGATTCATATGCAATGAAAATATCCAATAGCACACACTGTTGAGGTTTTTAAGCATAGTGCTAATCTCCTCCAGCAATTCGTCTTTAATGAGTACAAGACTATGCAGTATGTGAATTAAACCCAGATCGGATTAATTGTTAATTTTTTTCTCCTTAATATGTACATTTTTTATCCATCGCTCCATAAAGGTTTTAAAAAAATCAATTAGTTCAATATGAGAAATTGTTCATATAAAACTATGCTGGGCAGGTAAATCAGTGGGAGCATATACTTTACACTTGTAATGTTGCTTCCCCAACACCATGTGGGATTTGGGGTTTTCATAGTAAATATAACCTAATGATTTCTTATTTTTACGTGAACACTACACATTAAATTAAACTAATTTTATGGATTTTATCGCGTTTAACTTTTAAATAGTGCTTTACAGCACCCATGTCACGGGAGGGGGGGGGGGACTGAGGTGTTTGACGTCTCAATGTCATAGTTAATCCAGCTGCTTTCAGTTTTTGAATATTAATTTTTGATCTGATCTTACAGAGCTTACAGTATCTTGAAGTCTGGCAGTGGTATGCTTGGGTTCGGATTTAATTTTATTAATTATAGGATCCCAAGTAGATGGTAGCTGCCATCTATCCTGTCTATTGAAATTAGGATATTTTTTAATTTCATCATAAAGCACCTTTAACATCAGGAATTAAAAAGTTAAAGTTAAACGCGATAAAATCCGTAAATTTAGTTTCATTGAAATATAAACCAACTAAATCATTTATATAATCATCAGGTGGACATGTCTAAGGTGAAACTGGACGTGCTGAAGCCATGGATCACTCAGAAGATCACTGAAATACTCAAGATGGAAGATGACGTAGTCATTGATTATGTCAACAATCAGCTCGAGGAGAAGGTGACTAAAATAAATTATTATTTACATATTAAATGTTAATGAAGGAATGTAATCATTGCAGTTTCTTTGCTGTCGATTCTGTAACTCTTATAGATATTAATAGAATGGAAATGTTTAGCTGTTTTAATAAAGAAACTGCAATTGAATGTTGTCATATGTATATTGATTGCGTATGGATATTTTTATGGTCCCCACCGGTTAGCGCGTGCCGCCGCCGCCGCCGCCAGCCGTCGCCAGCCGTCGCAGCGCGCCGCGGCTCATCCCTTACGGACGCCCTTAGCATTCTCAATCGGTATTTACGGGGAAATTACTTAATGCTAACTCAGTATAAAACCATAAGCGATGTGGTGATGTTTGCTTGAGAAGAGTTACTCACACAAAACAATGGAACTTATCTCTAGAAGACGTTAAGAGACCGATCTGACTCGGGGTAGGGAAGCCTCGTTTCGTAGGCTTTGCGTTCAGCATAATGTGGTTGTGTTCGCAAAACCCTTACAGATGCAAGAAGTTGAAGAGTGAAGGGAGAAATGTTTGCTGACGTCGTGTCGTCGCGGTGTCGACGCAGCACGCTTCCGGACGTCGGTCTTCGCGGCGACTTCACGCTGCCGTCGAAGCCTTCAGCGTCGCCGCCGTCCCTGCACCATCGGCTATAATTTTTGATCTGCACATCATTCGCTTCCCTATTCGAGTCATGTCGGAGCCTTTTTACATTTTAATAGATTTTTTTTAAAGTTGGCGCTCTTAACGGCCTTCCGATACAACATACCTCTTGTCTCCGATAAAAATAATGTTTAATGAACACCATTACAAAGGACAGTGTCAGATTTGTTAGGGTGCATTTTAGTTTATTATAGTGATTAGGTTATTAATAAGAGAATATTTTTTTTCCCGATCCGAATCCCTTCGGCTCCTAGTTTCCTTGTCCAAAGAAAATGCAGATCAATTTGACGGGATTTCTGAATGGCAAGAACGCGCGGCTTTTCATGGGCGAGTTGTGGGAGTTGCTGCTTAGTGCCCAGGCCAGTGAGAATGGGATACCGGAGTCATTCACGCAGCAGAAAAAAGAAGAGATTAAGAAAAGAATGGTGAGTGTAGAAAAATTAGGTAAAAGGTATCCGATGAAAAGCAGGGTTCCTAAACTCGTTACAAAATGCGGCCCGCTAATTTCTTTTGCTGATAGTTGTCCGCCGCGTCGGCTCGCCCGCTAGGTCTCTATATATTTTATTTAACTTGCTTAACGGCTCTGGGTTCTAGGCCTTTTGAGCCTATCATTTCTTTCGGAATCTTCGTTTTTATATATTTTTTCTTTACAATATGCTGATGCGTCACATTGCGAACTGTTTAGGAGATTTTGACGACAGCTCAACCCAGTGGACAGTTGATGTCGACAGCCACTCAAGTTCGTAAGGCACCCACGCGATCCAAATAACTCGAGGTTTATATCAACATCAAAGCATTTGTTTCGTCGTTTTCTCTAATAGGTCACACGCGCAGACACTTAATTCACAAAATCGCATCACTTTTACGAATCAAATCCACTTCAAACCATTATTCAAGCGACAAAACAGGAGCAAAAAATAAAGACTAACTTGTAGTTACTTTAATTTGTATCTTTTACAAAATGTTCTGTTTTTTGTTTCACATTAATCCTTTTTTTTTATGCAAATTAAGACAGTTTGTTTAAATTCGCCTATGACGTAATAAATGCTAAATGAAAATCTAAAAGTCTGATAATATATGAGTTTCTTTTTTCTTCCTTTGGAAAGTCTATCTGTTGAATTACTTAGAACAAAATAAATAAAACAAGTGGTAAAATATATTTTTTCAACCAACTTCAACAAAAATAAAATGAGAACATCATCAATAGTAGTTTTATTCAATTTGCCATTTAATAGGAGGAGCAAAAAGACAAGGAGAAGGATCGGCGTCGGTCGCGGTCCCGCTCACGCAGCCGCCGCCGTTCCCGCGAACGTCGCCGCTCGCGCTCCAGGACACGTGATCATTCCGGTGATAGGAAGTAAGTGACATTGTTTAAATTACATTATTTTACCCACAAATATTGCACCTGGACTCGAACCCACCAAACAAACATACCTTGACTTAACACCACAACTTAAAATATTGAAGTCATAACTCAGATGTAAAATATTAAGAATAGGAAAGATGTCATCAAAAATGTGATATATCTCATATTGCGATCATTTGTCTGCTAAACATGTGCAGTTATGGCTATGTCCACCACTTGATATTGCCTTAATAGGCACTGCTTATGCTTTGATTACTATGCATATGAATAATTTTTAAATATTTAGTTATACTATTTTTAGAGATGGGCCTAATATGGATTTCACTGAATACTATTGGTATTTGGCCTAAAGATTATTCGACCGAACATTATTCGGCAGGATCACCTCGGTACCTAACCAATTTATGTTGTAACTTGTTACCGTAAACCGCACGGGATTAGTGCCCTGCCCCTCGCTCCCCCGCTACACCTGACATGTTATTGCATCATATCTAGTACAGAGCTAATTGCCGGTACATGCTTATGTTTTGACTATTCTAGTGAGAAAAAAGTATTTCGTTCTTATCATTCTTAGTGAAAATTGATAATTATATGATAAAAAGGAGTTTCAAGAAATCTACTATTTGTACTTATTTTATGTATTCCGGCCGAATACGAATATTCGGTAAAGTTGCCGAATATGCCGAATACTGAATATAAAGCGAATATTCGGCCCATCCCTAATTATTTTACATTACATTACAAAATTTACCCCAAAAATATACATGCAACTTCATTTTTATTGCATTGATTCTGCTTGAACAGGAAATAACCATTATTTAAATAAATAATACATTAAAAGTACGAGGTAACAGCACAGCGTTGCTTCTTTACTAGGGAGTGGCTCATGTCCACCAATGGACTGTTAACAATTTAATCCTCCATAATATGTGCCTTTTAAAAAGTTTACTGAGTGGCTGATTGATATTATTCTATTATAGTTTACGAAGATGGTTATTTTTTTAAATAGCATTGGGTGACAAACAAGCACACAGTTCAACTGATGGTAAGTGGACACTGTGGCCCATAGACATACATTTATCCTCAACTAAGTATCAAAATGCAAATGTGTTGCCATCCCTGAGGACTGAGATGGAATGCCTCGATTCCAGTTAAAAGAGTCTCAGGTTCTTTACATTCACCATAAGAAACACAACAGTATTATGCTGCTATTTTATGTAGGTTAATTTTGTGAGAGTGTGGTCCTGCCCCGATTGAGTCGACCAATTCGTGCTATAATTATAATATAGCTGGAGCGTGGCTTTACCATGTTACATATTATCTATTTTGGCTCTACATCAAGGAAAACTGTATGGTATGCACATGCTGTCTTGGCTGGGTTAAAGTGGGCTTTTCGAGACATCGCCCATGTACTGACGCTAGTCGATAGAGATGTGCCACTTCATATTGGTTACAGAATAAATTAAATATTATTACAATTAAAATATATTTATGTATTTCAATAAAACAATTCATCCGTCACAGTCTATAAAAGTCCTCCAATGAACATAGCCCCTCCCCCCCATATATTATTATCCCTATAGAGCTTTAGTTGTTTCTAGAGTTGTTATTATTCTATCACTTGTTTCTATTTCTCTCCGTCACCTCTTATGACACCCACGGGACGATATGGGGTAGTGGATATTACACCACTACTACACTGTTAATAAAACAGTAATAGAAAACAATTTATCTCTATCTTTAATTAATCTAAGAATTAAGATAAACAGTTAGAATATAATATGGTAAAAATATGATATTAGCAGGGACAACAAATTCTTTCAGTAACTTCAAAAAATATAACTTTTTTACAATAAAATATTTAATGCACATCATCATAATTACAGTACTTAAAATGACTTGCATTTACATAACAATGAATCATAAAAAATAATTCATAATCAATAATAACAATTGATCATTTATACGCAATATGCGTATTCGCACATATAGTTTCATTTACCGTCCACCCTCCCTCTTCTCTAGTCACCATTTTCTTCCTAAAAATTATATCTGTGCAGTCATTCGCGACTTACTTCAACCCGGCTAAGATAGAGTGCGCGGACAATAAAAAATATTTACCACAGGTAACTTCGAAATCTATGCATTTGTTGTTATCCATTTTTTCAAATCTTTATTTAGTCAATTATATGTGGTTACAACATTCACTGGAATAAACATCAAAAATTATACGTACTTGTATTTTCTTGGATCAACATTTCATCAAAAAAGACAATTTTCACAATAAAAATATATATGTGAAAGAGCACTTTACTATTGGCTTTTTTACAGACATCGCAACGGGGGAAGTCCGCGCCGATCCAGACGACGCAGCCGAGAGAAGAGCCAGCCCAAGACTACTACTACTACTACTACCACTACTAATGTTGACGATATTAAGCTTCCGGAACCTAAAGGTATTTGCAATACTTTTTATTATTCTAAAAAATGTTAAACGTATATATGTACTAATAAATAATTTCATGTTTTGTACAGAAAATGGCAAATCACCAGAGAATAAAGAAGAAAAGGAAAAACCTGAAGAAGAGAACCATGATTCTACAACAGAAGTGGTAAAGGAGAATAATGCAGAGGAGACATCCAAAGAAGCAAAGATAGAAGAAGATGGTCACAAATCTAGATCTGTGTCTCCAGCTAAGTAAGTAATGCAGGATATAAGGCATTGTGAATAAGACTATTAACTTAAATGACATAAGCTTTCTTTGTTCCTTATAATATTCCCCATATATTCAATAATTTTATTGCTAATGATACTTAAATAAATTAAAGAAAAAATTGTTATTAGGGTGACTGGTGGTGGTGAGAAAGAAGCTGAGGAGAAACCTCTGGAAAAAACTCGACAATCTTCAAGTGAACGTCGTTCATCGTCTGCTTCATCTCGTAAGTTTCTATTTACCTAGTTTTTAAAGAGTATTTTAAAAAGTGGGGGCTTTTGTCTAATTCCATAATAAAAATATATAATCCTCCTAGTTCAAGAGCAAAATAGCAAATGTATTATGTAATTTTGATGACTTTCATTATAGATTAAAATTAGCTGTTCCCCATGACTTCATGCGAATTAATTATGGTTAAATTTTATGGGTTTTAATTTTGCACGGAACCCTAATTCTTATTCTAAAATAAAAGTAGCTTAAGTTACTCATAACATCGGCTATCTGCCGGTGAAAGCCCGCGCAAAATTGGTCCAGCCGTTTCGGAGATTAGCCGGAACAAACAGACAGACAGACGAAAATTCTAAAAATTGTTTTTTTTTTGTTTTAAGTACCATATATACTTTCATATGCATTTAGTAAAAGCTATTATTTTGTTTGACATTACAAACGAATACTTCAAGTTTATTTATTTGTCTATATAATGTTAAATAATAATATAAATATGTTCCATTGTAGTCCATTCTTAATTGATTGTTCAGGATCAATCACTGTGTAAAAATGTGTGTACATGATTGGTCCATATACAATTATTTCGGATGTTTTCGTGGATTTGTAAAATTATAAATTTTACCAACCATTTTTTTTTAATGATTTGGATATATATATTCTGTAATGTGAAGACATATGCTTATAAAATGTTTGTATGCATTATAAATAACCTTCATTTGCAATACCATCCTTTAATTTATTAATAAAAGTTCGGATAGAACTATAATTTATATAATTCAACCTTAGCTTGTTAGTCAAAGGAACTATATTTGAATGGAACTAAGTAACCATATGATCTTGAAAGTCAAAAAATCCTATGTTGCGGTTTTTGGATATTTCTATTTCGGCATAAATTATGAATACAGATGCATGATTGTGGACATTTTTGTATTTTGAAAATGTTTCCACAATTTCTTAAAACTATTATTTTTTATGCTTTGAAGAAGTTTCAAAAATAAAATTTAATTTTTTTGTTGTGTAACCAACTAGCGGTCAACACTGGGGAACACTGGGTACCGACCACTAGTAAGTTTTAAATTCATAAAAATTACTTAATAATATTGATGTATGTTTTTATAAGTTCAATTGCTGATTTTTGCACCTTTCGTTTTCTTTTTTATTTTCTATTCCTCTTTTTGGTAAGACGTCGAAACGTTATAGATATTGAAGTGTCAAAACAAAAAAAAATCTTCCAAATTAATTACAATTTAAAAAATTTGTATGAAAATTATGCTTGAGAATACACTTTGTGAAAATGTTATATATATATATATATATATATATAGAGTATGACTGTGAGTATGAGCAGATCTTTCTACTTGGAATATATATGACAGTTGGTGCTTTTTTGAAAGGTTTAGTAGTGGGCAGAAGACAATAGTAATGTTTTAATGTAATTTTACTGGTTATAATTAAGATATACTCGTTAAAAGAAAAATGTAATTAAAGTATGTACATTAATTAATATAATATATATATATATATATATATATATATATATATATATATATATATATATAATTAATATAATGTCTAATATGAAATGTTTAAAATTATTTTTGATGCAGTTACAACTATCTTTTCATAAAATATCTCGAGTTAAATTGTACTGTCTTTATTTTTTTTATGTAATATTTTCATTAAATCAATAAGTTAATATAAAACTTTCGTTAATTTTATAACTTGATGTCTTGAGTTTATCATTGACACACATGCGCGCAGGATAAGTGTAGGATTACTTTTTCTGACCACATTCGTGACCGTTATTTTATGATTATTATTTTATTACAATAATACAAATAACAATAGTAATAATAATAATAATCACAACGAAATCAATAAAAATTTAAAATAATAAAATATTTTATTTTAAGTCTAATATTTCCCTTATACAATGTGGTGTACTCGACCCTCCTATATACTACATACAACACACTTAAGTCAATGTGTAATGCGAAGCGAATGTTAGCTTGATAGTCCTGTAGTTATCGTGCGCGCGTAGTTTATTTATTTGATTGTCTTATTCCTTATTCTGTTTTAGACGGCAGTGCAAAGAAAAGATCTTCGCATAAGAAACGCCAATATCGCTCCAACCGCGATTCCTCTGGTAGTGCCAGTCCAAGACGCAGTTCGCGCAGAGAAAGGTGAGTGAAAATTTAATGATAAAACATTGGTAATAATGTTGTTATTTTTAATACCACTTTGTTTTACTTCTCCTAAAACAATTAAAAAAAATATTTTCACTTGTGGCCAATTACTTTGTATTGCACACATTGCAATCTGTTCATTTCATTTGTCCTATTGGAAATTAAACTTGCCCGTTTTCAAAATAAGAACCTATTTTATGGAATTATTATAGTGCCTGCGTTATCAACTGAGTCGTCGGACAATAAATTATTGTAATCAGTCTATCTCGCTCGCACTCTTGGGCTTATGAAACGCTGTAATCACGTACGTAACAGCAGGAAGTCGACATCGATAAGATTTAATGAATGGATTTTTTAAGGTTTAAAATTATAAAATTAAATCCCTGTGCTAACGACACAAATAAACGCAAAATTTTCCCGTGTTTTATTAAAATTAAGCTAGGATATTTTTTCGGGATCACTTTTCAATTGATTTTTAGAAACAATAATATATTGCAAATAACTATTCGAGTTTGCACGTTACGACGAACAACGCTCCACGAGAGATGAAATTAAATGGAAGTGCGCGAAAGGGAAACGAATCAATAGCAACGGGCGACGCGCTAATCCTACGTCGTTTCTTCCTGCGTCCCGTCGCCCGCGCACTTTCTTGTGTCGTCTTGTGTACTATCGATATCGAAAGTGTTAGCGACTACCTGTTATAAAATTTTAAATTATTGCGATTATTTTTGTTCTTTTTAAAATATTCTATATAATATTTTCAAATAGTGTGCAAATATTTATTACTTTATAAATTATTTTGGACCTATTTAAAATAGCGTAATTCGTAGTATATTGTATAAAGTTGTAAATATTTTGTTATTTTCTACAAGATGATTTTTTTTGCAAATTATTGCATGTAAAATATCCTTATAATCGAAGGCTATCGCATAGTATAGTTTAAACAGCAATTACAAATACAAAAATACAAATACAAAATATTTTTTTTTTAACTAAGTGTATTCATATCATTCGTGACTGATGTCGTTTGATAAGTGACTACCGCCGCCCATGATCAACCGCAACACCAGGAGAATTGCGGGTGCGTTGCCGGCCCTTTAGAAAGGAGTAAGCTCTTTTCTTGAAGGTCCCCAGGTCGTATCGGTCCGGAAAAATCGCCGGTGGTAAACTATTCCACAGAGAGGTTGTACGTGGAAAAAAACTCCTTGTGAAACGTACAGTGGTGGACCGCCAAGCATCCAGATGGTGTGGATGGTAACGGGACGTTTGACGTGTAGTGCGTTCACGAAATTTGGCGGCTGGGATTAATCCGAACAATTCCTCAGAGCACTCCCCCGTGATAGATGCGATAAAATACGCAAAGAGATGCAACATCTCTTCGCAGCGCCAGTGAATCGAGCCGATCGGAAAGCACTCGGTCGTCGACGATTCGAGCCGCTCTGCGCTGGATGCGGTCAAGTGGAAGAAGCTGGTACTGGGGAGCCCCAGCCCAGATATGGGAACAGTATTCCATGTGCGGTCGAACCTGCGCCTTGTAAAGTTGCAGGCGGTGTGCCGGCATGAAACACTGTCCCGCTCTGCTGAGCACGCCAAGCTTTTTAGAGGCCAATTTGGCCTTCTCTTCCAAGTGACCACGAAACTGCACGTCACTCGATATGTCGACGCCGAGGATTCCAATACTGGCTGAGGCAACAAGGGGAGTGCCTTGAAACTGAGGGGATACGACAAAGGGGTTCTTTTTAGCGGTTAACGCGCAAACTTGTGTCTTCTGGGGGTTAAACTGGACTAGATTTAGTCGCCCCCAATCCGAGACTCTGTCCAGCAGAGACTCGACTTCAGACACAAGTTTGTCCCGGCACTCGGAGACGTTTTCCCGAGAAATATTGTCTCGGCCGGTGTAAAGAGCATCACCAGTGCTGTCATCTGCATAGCAATGAATGTTACGGGTATGCAACATGTCATTGATATGCAGAAGAAACAGCGTTGGCGATAGCACACAGCCTTGTGGAACACCAGCATTAATAGGCTTGCAATCGGAGCTTGCACCGTCTACAACGACCTTGATGCTCCGATCTGCAAGAAAGCTGGTGATCCAATCGCACAATTTCTCGGGAAGCCCATAGGAAGGGAGCTTCGAAAGAAGCGCTTTGTGCCAAACCCGATCGAAGGCCTTCGCAATGTCCAAACTAATGGCCAATGCCTCCCCCTTCAACTCTACTGCCTCCGCCCATCTGTGAGTTAGGTAGACCAGAAGATCACCAGCTGACCGACCACGGCGAAAACCGTATTGGCGGTCACTAATCAGCTGGTGATCTTCAAGGTACCTCATGAGCTGGCAGTTTACAATGGACTCCATTGTTTTGGAGAACAAGGAGGTGATGGCGATTGGCCGGTAGTTGGACGGGTCAGAGCGGTCGCCTTTTTTAGGGATCGGGTGGACGTAAGCCGTCTTCCATGATTTTGGGACTACGCCTAGGGAGTAGGAGTACCGGAAAAGACGCGTTAAAACCGGTGCCAACTATGGAGCACACGTCCTCAGCACAATTGAGGGGATTCCGTCAGGCCCACTCGACTTTTGGATGTCCAGGGAGAGGAGTGCTTTGCGAACCGAGCGCTGTGTGAAGTGCACTTCCGGCATGGAGCACTCACACCGCGGGATGGTCGGCGGAGTACTCCCCCGTCATCGAGAGTCGAGTTAGACGCAAAGAAAGAACCTAGAAGATCGGCTTTCTCCTTTGCGGTATGGGCCAGTGAGTCGTCCTCCCTGTGCAGAGATAGAAGAGATGGCTGACAGAAATTCCCCTGGACAGCCTTGGCGAGAGACCAGAATGCACGGGTTCCAGAAGGAAGGCGAACTAGTTTCTCGCCAATTCTGCCTATGTGCTCTGACTTTGCCTTGGCAATGACTCTTTTGAAGGACCTAGAGGCGGAATTACACTTCCTTTTTTAGAGCGCTGGTGTTTACATCCCGGGACGCTGATGCATCAGCCCAGGCTTGGTAGCACTCCTGCTTATAGCATGATGCTATTTTACAGGAGCGACCAAACCATGGCTAAGACTTGCCTCCAATGGGCACCACAGAGGAAGGAATAAAAAGTTCCATACCCTGAAGTACCACATCAGCAACAGAATCCACAACAACGTTGGGATCATCCGGCGAGAAGCAAACCCGCCCCCAAGGGTAGGATGCAAAGAAAGACCGCATCCCATCCCAATCGGCTGACCTATAGTGCCAAACACGGCGGCAGCCTGCAGAATGCAACCGCGATTTCAGCGTGAGTGGCACCACACTCCGGACCAGACAATGGTTCGAGGAGCCTAAAGGGGCGTCGACGGAAATCTGATATCCGTCCGGGTGAGAGGTCAGCAGAAGGTCCAACGGGGAAGGTGCATGATCCTCCACATCTGGAATCCGCGTAGGCGAAGTAACCAGTTGTGTCAGACCATATGCCAAGACAAAATCATGAACAGATCTCCCCGAATGATCGGTTAAACGTGAACCAAACCATTCGGCGTGATGGGCGTTAAAGTCGCCGAGGATCACGATCTCTGCAGAGGGGATCTGCTGTAGCAACGAATCTGCAGCCATTTGGACGTGGTCGAATAGTCGGTCTGTTTCGGCATTACCGCTATGGGACCTATAGAGGCACCCGTAGACGCGCGGATGGTCGTCGCTGTCTACGCGTAGCCAACGGATGGACAGGTCCGAACCTTCAAGTCTGCCGAGGCGTCGAGAGCAGATGTCCTCTCTGACGTAAACGCAAACTCCAGCCCGAGGCACAAAGGAGTGTTCCAGTTTGTACCCCGGGTAGGAGAGATACGAGACATCAGCCGGAGAGGACACCTGCGTCTCGGTCAGAAAGAGCAGAGCCGGCCTTGCCGTCTCGAGATGGTAGTGGATGGCGTTTAGGTTAGAGTGAAGTCCCCTGATATTGCAGTCATTCACGGACAGCGTGGCATGGGTCGCCTTGGTCTTGTTGCTCCGTTCGCCCCGAGCAGTTGTAGTCTTGAGCGGAATTTTGCCCCCCCCCCAGAATACGCGGGGCAGCCTGAGCACCCACGCTCAGAAGTGGAGAAACATGGTCGTGGATGCTCAGCGAGGGATTCTCCAGGGGTGCTGGTACCCTCCTGGGGTAGTCGATCATTATTTAATTCCGCTATCATGTTCATGGGGGGGGGGATTGGCCTGCTGAGGAAAGGCGGAAGCAGAGCTTCCACTTCACGCCGGTATTCTGTGAGGTCGTGGTACCACCCCGGTTTGAGCCGGCCCATACGTGCAACAGCAAAGCTGCCGCGTGGCTCTACCACTGTCTATTTTCGTTTTAATTTTTGTATAAATTTTCGTTTTTCTGCTTGATTGTACATGCGCAGTGGACTCTATTTAATATCATCTTTGGTGGCGCGACCTATAACAACACATTAAATGAGGGTAGCTGTGTCTGCCGCGATAAAGTGGACTCAGGTAGCGAGAGGCGCACAGCGGTGGCACGTTCCTATTGTTATTGACATTTGGCAGACGACTCAGTTGATAACGCGGGCACAATAGTTTTGTTAAAAAGGATTTAGTAGTTACCAAAAGGATTATCTTGCAAACTTAACGAAAACCTTTCTTGGTTTAAAGTAAAACTTAATTTTAGTTTTTTTTTTGTAATTTATATTATTGTTATTTTCCGAATATAGGATATATTATACATCTAATATTTTTGAAAATTATAGTTTGATAACATTTTGTGTACGTACTTATATAAATTATTATATACATAAAATGTTATTAAATTATTTGCAATTTTATATGTGGTAGAGCCATGCTGCAGCTATATTAGATGTAAGCACTGAATGGGTTGGTACGATCGCGATAGGACCACGCTCTCACAGAACACCAGCGTAATAGTAGCAGCTTTAGGCTGATGTGTTTTGTATGGTGAGTGTAGAGAACCAGAGACCCTTTTTACTGGACATATTGCTTTTTTTGTGATTACTTGCACTTTCCTTTGACGGTAGCCTACCCGTCTCCTTGAATGATCGACGCTCTTGGGTGACTGGGCAATCCTCTTCGGGAGTAGGCCCGGCAGAGTGGTCCCCTGCTACATACAGATTTACAGATCCTATAGGTCCTACCTTAGGAATACCCAAAATCTGTGGAAATTTAATTGTTTAGACTACCCAAAAAGTACTAGGAAACCTAAGCTTATTAGTTTTTTGGGCATTACCTGTAACATCTAATATATAAAAATTAATGTATGTTTGTTCGTATTTTATGCGCTGCCATACCGTTCGTCAGATTGCGGTAAAACTTTGTCAACTTATTACTTGCACTTATATGAAGGTTATGTGCATAGTACAATCAATTTACAGTGAGTGGCGCGTATTGTAACGACAAATTTATTTGAAAATTATATATCATTATAACTTTCAAACTAACGGGTACAATACGCGCGTAACAATATAACAAATTTAAAACAGTATAGGTACGATTATTGCTTCTGCGGCAGTAACGCGCCGGGTACTAGCTAGTGTCTATTAAAAAGGGGGAAAATGGGAATATTATCATAAAAATACATTGATATTCTTTTTCCATGCGCCGCCTGGCAGTGACTTGTTTTTTCGATTGTGACACTTTTAGTTTAGTTACTAGTTTTGGAACACTGTCGCTGGTTCTATTGTGGTATGGACAAATATTTGTATTGTTACGAGCTTGAGGTTCGTGACAATAAAAATTGCCGATAGAATTACCTAAATTAACACTTTAATTCACTTTACACTAATTAAAGTTAAAAACACTAATAATTAATCACACTGATTCAATTTATTCCGCTCCGAAGCTTCTCTTGTCTCGAAAACTTCAATACTTCCCCGATCGCACCTTGCAGCGCCTATAAATACACATTAGTACCGAATCATCCAGAACATTCAAGTAAATACGCGCACCAATCGACAAAGCGCCGAAAGTTCTAGCGTCAGCTTCCAGAAGCCTAGTTCTTCATTTCGACAACAGATGGCTCTGTCGGTTGAAAGATTAGTGATGTCATTTTCTGGAAAGCTCTCCCCTCGCTCCGTTACCCGACACTAGATGGCGCTAGTGCCAGATGTCAACTTAGCCGCGCAACACTGCCCCCTCCTAAGACATGCTCGTCCCGAGCATTATCGGCCCCATAATAACGCGCCAGGCGATCCATATGGACGATCTTAGGAGTCCCCCTTGCGCCCTTCTGTATCCGATAGGTTACATCGTTGTTCCTGGTCACAATCCGGTACGGGCCGTCCCATTTAGCTTGAAGCTTAGGAGATTTCCCTTTGCTGCGGACCGGATTGTGCAACCACACTAGTGAACCTTCGTCGAACCCTTTGTTGTTCATTTTGCGGTCATACCGGGTTTTCATCTTTTCAGACATTTGTTGGCCCGATTGTCTGACGTGCTCATAAATGTCATTCATTTTGTTCCGCAAGTCATTTGCATAATCGGTTATGCTGCGTGGGGAATCAGGTGGTATCCCGGTGATCGGGTCTGCAGGCAGCCGTAATTCTCTTCCAAAGTTTGCGAAAGCTGGTGTCACTGTTGTACTTTCGTGAACAGCGCTTCGATATGACAGCAAAAACGGTTGTATGTGCTTATCCCAATCTCGTTGCCGGTTGTCTACAACTTTTGCTAGGTACCTCTCCAATGTCTGATTAAATCGTTCTACCATTCCATCAGATTGCGGGTGATAAGAAGTCGTTCTTGTTTTATGAGTACCCATAACTCGGCAAGTTTCCTGGAATATTGTCATGTATGTCAATGTTTCGGCTCTGGGAATTTGAGCACGTGAAATTTACGTATTGGAAAAGACTTACAAGATACAGGTGAAATTCTCAGAGTGGGGGTAACTTTTTTTTTATAAAAGAACTTGTATAATTATATTGTTGATGTTACGGTTTAGATGATGCCTTCTATTTTTCTAGCAAGAAGTGCGTGACTATGCTAAATGACACACGCGGCTCTTGTGGACCGACTGATGGTTTATCTTAAAATGCTGAACCCAATCATCACAGGCAGGTGATTGTGCTGGTTACTGGTGAACCAGACCTTAGCCAAAGCCTGTAATATTTTTGTAAATGTGCATCAGTTGTTTGCATAGCTCGAGTAATAAACTTTCATATGAAAGTGAAAAAAAAATTGACGTTATGCCTTTACATGATTGTAGGAGCAAGTCTCGGCGCCGCAGCCGTCGTAGATCCCCGGATCGTCGTGAAAGGGAACGTGAACGCGAACGCGAACGAGAACGTGAGAGGGAACGTCGCCGACGTGAAAGAGACAGACGAGAAAGGTACCACTTAAATCAAATTGTGAAATACATTTCTTTAAAAATGAAAGAAAAATTCTTGGTGGAGATATAATTTCTTGCTTTAATTTATATGGAAGTTCATTTTTATTCGATTTTGCCAAAATTACATTCTTTTTAATATTTATTTAAATTAAATTTTCAAAGTTACGACACATAATAAATGGTAGCTTAAGATATAGTTGCAAGTTTGTGTACTATTAGTTGATTTTTATGTTTTATAAAATCCTAGAACTAATAACAAAATGTAATGCGTAGTAGATTTCGCTTTGTTAAAAAAAATACAAGAAGGATTTATTACGCACTTAAAATTTATGATGATATTGCACCAAGAGACACCCATCGCTAGTATTGACCGTAGACACTTTAATTTCGATGTATATTATGGACCTATGGCGCTCTTTAATAACTTTGTTTATTTATGAAAGGTCCCGAGAGCGTCGTCGATCGCTTGAAAGACGCAGACGTTCGCGTTCACGCTCTCGACGACGTTCAAGAGACAGGTAATATTTATTTTAGTATTTGTTAGCAGTTTTTTTTTTGCTTTTTACCTGCTTTCTGCCACGGGCCTTAAAAATACGGACATAACGTCATCTAACCATCGATGAAATCTGCAAAAATGTCGCCCACTATGTTGTGCCCACTATGTATCACGCAGATACATTGAGGGGTGCTATATAAAAATCATGTGATTATGTGATCCTGCAAATAATGTTTTCATTCAAGTACTATTTCAGCAATAATTAATAATTTTAATACGCCGTTAAATCTGAATAACAACATCACTTTGAGAAGTGATACTACAAATTTCTAAGCTGTTAATCCATTTTTGCAGAGTGGAGATTTGGGAGTCCGTCCTATAATGGAAGTTGTTCAGTGTCAAGAGAAAATTCACAGTGTACCTATTTATTTATTTTCACGGCTTAATAGAGTAAGAAAAATCGGGATTTGAAAACAATAATTGTGATGTTTGTGATATACTTTAAATATCTGAATTATTCCGCCTAGTAATAAAATAAATATCTACTATCTAATAAATATCTAGAAAAGCACCTATCCTGCATTACCTTAATAGCATGCAATATCCCCATGATTAATCCCAATTATCACACTACATTGGGAAAGTCACTACCGTTGATAGTACATTGACACTTTGAATTGCAATTAGAAATTTATTTTTGTGCCGTCGGAGCTCGTCCCCATTTTGCTCGAGTACTGTGAAATATATTGCTTTAATAATTTACAAAGGACACTTTTGCAATAAAGTTAATGCTTAATACCTGCCTATTTATTAATAATAAGTACAGATTTCCCCACTTTAAAATAGGAAGTTTTACACGTTGTTGGTATAAAACATTGTGTCCGTTTTTTTAAGGTTCGTGCTTGCTGCTAAATCATAATGTCATCATCATATTCAGTTATAACATAAAATATTTTCCAGTCTTTGATTGTGTACCCCACAGTTATATCACGTAACAAGTTAGACCATATGAAGTGTAAATATTTGAAAGTTTGAGTGGTTTTAGTTTGACAAGTGAAATGGGCAATGGGGTGCGTATAATTAAGGTATTTAGTATTATTATTAATTAATTACTTCATCATTTAATATTAATTTGCTACTTTTAATACATTCCCGAAACTTTGACCTTTCGTTTTGACACATATTGTGAATAATTGGTCGGATATGTATCTTATAGCATCTATAATTATTATGATCAATTTTTTTAATTGCATATAAGTTCTCGGCATAAAAGTTCTTGGAACTATCACAGCAGCACCTTGAACTACTGTGATAGTGAAGCTATGGTTTAGCGTGTGAATCTCTCACGACAGGCAGTCTCCGTATTGGGCGATGCCAATCTTGTGAGTTTCTACGCCTCCAAAACACAACCGTTACTATGTAATTACTTAGGCGGTAAGAAAACTAGGTGTCCTTGCAAAGGCGCACATTCGACCCCATATAAAGCGCATGTTTGATCTTGCATGAAGTATTTGCTGTCAAATATGGTCTAGTGCTGCAAAATGCCACCTAACAGCATTGGACTCGGTAGAGATGCGTGCGCTAAGAGGCTTACTGATAATTTTAATTAGGTTCAAAACAATCTTGTCAGCCAGCCTCGAGCATAGGTACAAAGAAGCCTGCCCTCGTGGTATTCTACAGAATCCATTTCGGTGTGTGCAAGAATTATACGCCTTAATTACTCCGTCCCCTTTCCATCATCGCAATCTTTGTTAATAATCTACGTGTTTGAACCAAACGTTTGGTTCGTCTTTAGTAATGTGTACAGTAAAGAAGTGTAATAACGGGCCGATGTTTGTCTTTCTTTCCGATTTCATTTTGTGTGTTTCAAGGCAAGAGTAAATAGATTTTTTTAAGCTAAGTAAAATTTAGTTAGCATCTAGGGTTTCATCAACACCTATCATCAGGTGGGATTGCACTGGCTTTGCAAAAATAAATTGTTTGGCCCCGACTCTGAGATTTCACTATTGTTGAGAAAAATAACATTAAATCATAAGCATGACAACGAAAGTAGTATGCCTGCAAAAAATTATAACAAAAATAAATTTTCATGTTATTGACAGAAAAACAAGCCTATTTATATTTTTTTATACATTGGCTAGTTATGAATACGATTGCACTCGATGGTGAGTGGTGCTGCTCTCTTGGGTTATAAAACGTACTGTAAAACTGGAGTGACGAACGAACTGACAGTCCACTTGATGGTAAGTGGTTACTTATAGGCCATGCACATATGCAGCCAATTTCAACCAAAGATGGATACAGTCTCTTAGTCACCTCTGAGAACTAAGATGGAATGCTTCAGTCTGTGATTATAATACCTCTGAACCACCGAAACAAAGCAGTGCAAGCACTGCTATTTGGCGACAGAGGTAGGTGAGGGTGGTATTTACCTAGACGTACTTATAGTCGGAAATAGCGTGACGAAACGTGAGCACAGATGAACTATGGTGGGGGTTGAGCCAGCGTAGGTACACTGTTGGCCAAAATTATTATGTACTTTTGTTATTTCAATTCATAATTGAATATTTTCGCTGACTTTTTTCCAAATTCTGAGTAGTTAACTCCTTTAACTATACGCCGTACAGTAGCTACGTAGACATTAGTCGCCTCAGCAGTCTGTTTTTAAACGTCTGTCATGTTTTTCAACGTCTATCATGTTTTTCGCGATACCTAATTATTTCATGTAACAAAACACTGAATAGACCATTTGTCGGGATTGTCTATTTAACACCGAATTCTTTCTTCTCTGCATATTTAGACCAAAATCGGAATGCTCAATTAATAACAAAAAAAAATTTACAAGAAATATCAAAAACGGTTAAAAACAAGAAATACACTAACAACAATTAACAACGAGGTAACACTACAATTAACAAAAATAAACTATAAAGTTGTCACTAAAATTGCTCTCAAGTGTACGGTAGTCGAATAATATGTGCGAACCCAATAGACGACGAGAATCTGCTGACGAACTAATCACGTTGAGCGTCAGCGTGGTCAACGTCATATCGACCAATAAAAAGTGTGCTCACGACTCGTGCCGGCAGTTATACTAAGCTTAGTAAAAGACTACTATCTAATAACTAAATTATTATCTAATAACTAAATTACAAAGTTAATGATCCTTACCCTTTTCTGTAGTCATTAGACAAATTACAAAGCAAAACGCTTATTCTGAATTCGGCGTTCTTTAAGCCAGAACCTATCCGAAGATATTTTGAAATTTATTATGCCATGATTTAGTGCGTTGCCAGTGATTGTATGTAGATTTGAGACATGGTCTGTTACTGCAGGGCATATCAGAAAGGTCAAGGTTGCTCAGCAAGCTATGGTAAGGCTTATGATCGAAGTTTCTTTGTGTGATAGACAACATAGATAGAGATCAGTGGGCTGAGGTGGCAATGGGCCGGCTATATTCTTCGAAAAACCGATAATCGATGGAGAAGAAAGGTTCTCGAGTGGCAGCCTTATATTAAGCAAAGTGCAGGGTGATCCCAACTAAGATGGAGTGATAATTTGGTAATAGATGTGGGAATTTGATTGATGCAGGTAGCTCAGGACCATGCCACACCATTCCGGCAGAGAGCCTATGTTCAGGTATGGTTTTATGATGGGCTGTAATGTTGATTGTAATGGTGGTGATCTAGTGAGGAATTGATGTCAAATCGTTTAATAGAATAAAAATAAATTAGCGACGCGATACTTTTAAAGCGCAGTTTTTGGGAATCTAAGCTGATTTCAAACTAGAAAAAAATGTAATAAAAATATATCTGCAGCAGTCTGAAGAGAATTTACTTTTTTAAAAGTGTGAACTTTGATACATTCATTCACATTATTGAGTACTACGGCTACAAGTTTATTAATAACCAATTGATTTTCTCTGGAATTTCTTTTTTTTGTGCCCCTCATTAGTACCCGTAGGATTATCCATTATTTATCGAACAACCTGTATAATAAATCATGTTACCAATTCTCATTAAGGATATCGTTAAGGTTACTTTCATTTACGTACTATTATTAGAGTATATTAATTATTTTCTCATCGTTCATAACACATATGTTTCTTGCTTTTATTTCTCGTTCCTGTCTTCCTTACTCGACTATAATTCATTCATTTATCTTTCATTAGTCACAGTTTAGTACATTTTATTCTTAATATATTAAACGATTTTATTAGATCGCGAGACCGGCGCCGCTCCCGTTCCCGCAGACGTTCGCGTTCGCACCGACGTTCTGGTAGACGCTCGCGTGACCGACGCTCCAGGGACCGACGTTCGAGAGACCGCCGCTCTAGGGATAGGTCCAGGTAAAGTCCTATTCGAATGAACCCAAAATATATTTAACTAAACACAGCGATTCACCCTTAACTGAAATTATACTTAAGTAAATTAAAAAGTAAAAGTCGCCATCAAATAACTAAAAAGAATAAAGTAATTTAAACATAATAGCTTCAAAAGTGAGTGCACATACTAAGGCTTAAACTAGATTTTGTTTCAAAAAAGAAGTTCTGTGGCAAATATGCTAACTAAATTGTGAAGGTATGGAATTTGAAAGCAAATATCTAATATCAAATTTCGCGAAGACCGACTTTGCGGTTAAAGAGACTTCTTTCGAGACAAAGACTTTTTTAAACTCATGACTGTTTATAAGCCACGGATTATAATACAACCTTACTTGATGACTTATTTTTTACTAAGTTTAATTTTTTGACCCTTTACAAGTGGAGACTAAGGAACACAAATTCTAAAAGCAACGACTAGAATGTCGTTATAACATTAAAAACTTCACCTTCTATTTTTCACTCTTAGGTTTGTTTATATGAGACCATCCCCGAAGTGTAACCTATTTAATAAAAAAGTAATTAAAATCGGCTACCAATTAACGAAGATATCGCGTTACATTAACACAAATAAACAACGATCACACAGAAACATAGTCTAGTTGAGAACCTCCTTCTTTTTGATTATCTCTAAAAATAAAAAATAAATTCTTGTGACATTACTGGAATCAATTAATCCGATTGTACGAATAAAACATTATAAAGATTTTAAAATAATTTATATTTACAACATAGAATGATGTTACCGATTGCGAATGTCAAGAACAGCCGAGAAATAATTTTCGACTTATTCCAAATATATGATATTCGGCTAGTTAAATTTACTCTTTAAATAAATAAATAAAAAATTAAATACTATTTATACTATTGAATTTAATTAGGAACTACTAAACATTCTCAAAAATTTCTACAAAATATCAGACAATTCTATTAAATCGTACTCGTAATAAGGCTCCCTTCATAAATTGAGTTTAAAAAAAAGTTATTACCAGTTCATGTTATTTTAATATTGCATCTTAAAAATATTGACAATCAAAGTAATCAGCTGGTATTCGAAGTGCTAAATTATATAATATAGCATACAATAATTGTACATATTAGTAAAAGAAATCGTTTTATGCAGGGACAGGAAATCACGAGATCGTACAAGAGACAGGAGGTCTAAGGATAGAAAATCTCGCGATAGAAGGTCCAGTGATATTATTAAGGAGCGATTGGAAAAATCTGTGTCCATACCAAGGAAAGGTGTGTAAAATAACGATTTATATTTTAAATACACTTGTAATACTGCATCAAAAACCTAATTATATGTATTCAATCTCTTTTACAGAAAACCTTGAAAAGTTACACAAACCAGTTGAACGTAACTCCATTCCACCGGAACGCACGAAAGACCATGCTTCGAGTTCTAGTAGGGAATCATCTGTGGCAAACGATAAATCTACTGCAGTGAATGAAAGTCAAGCTAAACCAGTAGCTCAATCATCTGATGACGATGACAGAGAAGATTTTATACCTATACCCACCTTAAGAGAATATTCTAAAAGTTTATCTCGAACACCTTCGCCTTTCCTAAGAAAACATGAAATTGAAAGCAATAAAAAATCTGATAGATCAGCTGACGATGCATCAGGGAAAGAACAGAATGATGAAGACAAAACACAAGAAATGAAAAAAATGAAAAGAAAAGCTCATCAATCAGATAGCGAAAGTGAAAGCAGTGAAGAAGTTAACAAAGCTAAAAGTAAGGCAAAACTTAAGCGCAAAGAAAAAACTACCTCAAAAAGAGCTAAGAAGACCAAAAAAGAAAGTTCATCGAGTGATAGCGATTCAGAAGATTCATCTTCTAGTGACTCGGAAGAAGATAGAAAGAAAAAAAGCAAGAGAAGCGCCAAAAAGAAATTGGCAAAAAAATCTAAAAAGAAGCGAGCTCGGTCTACAAGCTCAGAATCGAGTTCAGAGGAAGAAGTCAAACACAAGAGTTCAAAAACAAAACATAAGAACATTCCTGAAGAGTCGGACAGCGAGAAAAAGTCGAAGAAGCGAAGCAAAGATACGAGTATTGAGCACTCTAAAGAGAAAATTGAAAGTAAACAAACAAAGTCAAAGAAAGCTGAAAATTCCGAAGATTCTCGCGATGACAGTTCAGATAGTGACACAAAGTCCAGTAAAAAGAAAACTGTAAAACATGATTCTAGCAGTTCAGAAAAAGAAATAAGACGCAAGAAAGCTGAATCTATAAAAGAAAAAGCTGTTTCTCCTGATAATGCAAAATCTCGAAAAGGTGAAGAAAAAGCTGCTAAAACAAAGCATTCAGATGAAACCAAGTCTAAATCTCGGGAAGATAGTGAAAAGAAAGGTAAAAAACGCGAAAAAGAAGATTCTTCTTCCGATAGTGATCAGGTGTCGAAGAAGAAAGCTAGAAAAAAGGTTTCAGACTCTGAATCTGACTCAGATAGTGATGAACCTAAGAAATCCAAGAAATCAAAGAAACACAAGAAACATTCAAAGAAACATAAGAAACACAAAAAACATAAGAAAGCGTCAAAAAAGAAGGACGACTCTTCTGATAGTGAAGAAGCGGAAGACGATGAAGAAGAAGGTAAGGTAAACAATGAAGATTTAGAAAAGAAGTTACGGGAAAGAGCACTTAAGTCTATGAAAAAACAAACTAGTGCATCTGGTTCCGATTAACTAATATTTCCGCTCATTTTGTCTCTAAGTTGTCACTTACATAAATTTAAATTTTACGAAATGTAGCAATTTTAAGAATGAAATAGCATGTATGATTTAAATACGTGTACGTCTTATTGTTAGTAATAAAGTTAAATGTGTAAAATGACTATTTTGATTTTATTACTATTGCCTTTCACTTGTATACTGTTTGTCAAAGATTAATGTAGGTGTCGAAGATCGATCGATTGATTGACTATTTCAATTATATCCCGGACATCAATCTGAGCAAGATTAGAATGGCTCTCCAGCACCCTAAAAACGGTAAGGCTCCAGGCGAGGATATAATTACAGCGGAGCTTCTAAAAGCTCTTGATCTCTCTCCACTCTTCAGTTTTATATTTAGTGCTGTCGAGGATGTGTTAAACAAAGCACACAGAAGGCATACCTTCTGTGTACTAAATATCGGGAATTTGTCAATAAAACAAAAAATACAAATTATTCATCTAAATTTATTTTATCGCCTTCAAAGTAGGCCCCATCGCTTGCAATACAACATCTCCAACGCTTCACCCAGTCTTCCATACATTTTTCATAGGCTATTTGCGGTATGGCCTTTAGCTCATTCAGCGAATTTTTTGTTATGGCTTCTATCGACTCAAAACGTTTTCCTCGAAGTGGTAATTTTAACTTGGGAAATAAAAAAAAGTCAGACGGAGCCATATCAGGTGAATACGATCGGTTTGGTCGGGAACTTTTGTTGAATTTTTCGCTAAAAACTCTTTCACTATAATGGCTGTGTGTGATGGTGCATTATCATGGTGCAGCATCCATGAGTTGTGTTGCCACAAATCTGGACGTTTTCGGCGGATACTCTCACGCAAACGCTTCATGACGCTTAAATAATATTCTTTATTCACTGTTTCTCCCTTTGGAAGGAATTCGGAGTGAACCACACCACGGTAGTCAAAAAAACTGTCAGCATCACCTTGATTTTGGAGCGACTTTGCCGCGGTTTTTTGGGTTTCGGCTCGTTTTCGAGACGCCATTCTGAAGACTGTTGGCTTGTTTGCATGTCGTACTCATAAACCCATGTCTCGTCGCCAGTTATTATACGTTTCATAAAGGTCGGATCCGTAGAAGCTCGGGAAACCATGTCTTCAGCGACATGCTTTCGCTGCGATCTTTGAACAAAATTGAGCTCTTTTGGAACTAGTCGAGCGGCGACGCGTTTCATATCTAAAATGTCAATGAGAATGTTGTGGACGGACTTAAAAGATATGTTCACCTCACTAGCCAACTCTCTCAGACTCATACGTCGATTTTCGAGCACTAGCTTCTTGATTTTGTCGATGTTTTCTTTGGTCGTAGCGGTTGAAGGTCTACCAGAACGAGGCAAGTCTACTACTACTTCTCGGCCTTCTTTAAAATCCTTATACCATTCATAAGCCCTTGTTTTCGATATACACGATTCGCCGTAGGTATTTAGCAACATTTTTAGTGATTCACCACATGAAATATCATTCGAAACACAAAATTTAAGGCACACTCTTTGTTCAACAATATTTTCCATTGTAAAAATCGCCGAGAACTCAAAACTATGACCAACAAAAAGTGTAGTTTAAAACAAATTAAATGACAGATCCCGCTCAAACTTTGCGCACTAAATCAGTACAGTGCTACCAACATGCAGTAAAAAAATTAGAACGACTTCTTTTACGCGGGTCTTTTTATTGACATATTCCCGATACTTTTTACACAGAGTAGTACTAATGCTAGATAGACTGTATGACATAGCAATTGCGTACCTTCGGTGGCTTTGAAAAAAGCCGTTTGGGTTTACTTGAGCGAAAGTAAAAGATATTTACATACAATACTACATGAACAAAGCACAAACAATGTACAAAATTAAAAATAAAAGACAAATTATTTATATTCTAAGTTGAATGTTCTGTCAGTGGTAAATGAAAAAATTGACTTTCAATAAGTATTATTTATAATCTACATTGAATAAAAAAGTTTCTGTTACTGTTTCTCTTTTTTAAGGAAAGATTTAATACTACATGAACAAAGTACAAACAATGTACAAAATTAAAAATAAAAAACAAATTATTTATATTCTAAATTGAATGTTCTCTCAGTGGTAAATGAAAAAATTGACTTTCAATAAGTATTGTTTATAATCTACATTGAATAAAAAAGTTTCTGTTTCTGTTTCTGTTTCTCTTTCTTAAGGAAAGATTTGATTACGTCCGCGTAAAATGTTAGTGAACATTTTAACTGTAGGTACCAATAACTGTTTTTTAATTGCGATAATTGATCAGTCCGAAAAACGCTCTTGACGTTGTGTATTTTCTCAACAAAGTTTATAGATCTTACCTTTTCCTCGCCGATTAGCACTTTAACAACAAAAACAAACATAAACATTGAAATGTGAAGTGAGCTTGCAAACGTATCGCCCGCACGCCCGCGCACTCCTAAACAACTTCAGAGCAAAGCCCAGCTTTTGGGTCCATCATCATCATCATCATTACAGCCCTTCACAAGTCCACTGCTGAACATAGGCCTCCCCCAAGGTATGCCACAAAGCACGGCCCTGAGCCACCTGCATCCATCGACTTCCTGCATGTCTTACCAGGTCGTCACTCCATCTAGTGGGGGTCGCCCTACACTTCGCCTACAGGTACGAGGCTGCCACTCGAGAACCTTTTTTCCCCAACGTTTGTCGGTTCTTCGAGCTATATGGCCGGCCCATTGCCACTTAAGCTTACTAATCCGTTGGGCTATGTCGGTCACTCTGGTTCTACTGCGGATATCCTCATTTCTAAGTTTATCCGCAGAGAAACTGAGCATAGCCCTTTCCATAGCTCGCTGAGCGACTTTGAGCGTCCTCATACGGCCAACAGTGAAGGACCACGTCTCTGTTCCGTAGGTCATCATTGGCAACACGCACTGGTTGTACAGCTTAGTTTTCAAATTTTGAGGTATACCTGACGAGAAGATGTGTCGTAATTTCCCGAACGCTGCCCAGCCGAGTTGAATCCGCCGATTGACCTCTCAGTCGAAATTAGACTTACCTAGTCGGACTATTTGTCCTAGGTAAACGTACTCGTCAACAACTTCGAGCTTAGTGCTCCCAACAACGACCGGCATAGTTGTGACATGGACATTAAACATGATCTTTATTTTGTCCATGTTCATCTTAAGACCTATCCGTTGGGAGGCACTATTGAGGTCATTGAGCGTAGTGCTTAAGTTCTCCAGCGATTCTGCCATAAGAACTATATCGTCGGCAAATCGAAGGTGAGTGTATGTACTCGTCATTGATGTTAATACCGTATCCATTCCAGTCCAGTAGCTTGAAAACGTCTTCCAATGCAGCGGTGAAGAGTTTCGGGGAAATAACATCACCCTGTCTTACACCTCTGCAGTTGGATAATTTTCGTACTCTGGTTCTGTACTCGGATAGCCATCGTAGCCCTACTGTACAAACACTTCAGCACTTCGATATACCGACAGTCAACTTGGCACCGCCGAAGAGACCGTAACACCGCCCAAATTTCGACGGAATCAAAGGCTTTCTCATAGCATTTTTGCATTTTTGGAGACCGGCTTGTTCGGGAGGCTGAAAGTCGTCGAGTCTGCGTGCGAGACGATTCGTAATGACTCGAAAACCGCACGTAGACGCGGCTCAGAAGGGATATCGGTCTGTAGTTCTTCAAGAGGGCGTTGTCACCGTTCTTGCAGAACAAGACCACCGCACTTCTGCTCCACGCCTCCGGAGTAGTGCCACAATGAAGGACGGTATTAAAGAGCCTCTGAAGGACTTCAAGTACCGGTTTTCCACCCGCTTTCAGAAACTCCGCTGTAATTCCATCTGCGTCCGGGGACTTGCCGTTTTTAAGGTGCTGGAGAGCCATTCTAATCTCGCTCAGACTGACGTCCGGGATATCATCGGAATAGTGTCGGATAAGACTTGCTCTTGGATCGTTACTCACATTTGCGTGTGGCTCCAACGATGATGTGTACAGCTGCCCATAGAACCTGTCAATCTCACTCAGAATCTCAGGTGTCCCGGAAACAATGCTGCCACACTCAGTCTTCAGTGACAGTGGCTACGCATCTCTGGCGACTTTGGAGCCCTGGTTCCGCTCGATCGCTTCTTCAATACGAACAGTATTAAAGTTGCGTAAGTCTCGCCGCATGCGTTTGAAGATCTGTCTGTTCAGTTGCCTGTATGCTGTCAGATCTGTTGACGATTGCAGCCTCATCTCCCGTCTAACAGCCTTGAGATTAAGAGTGTGATCGGAGAGTTTTTGTGTTCTTCTGCGGCGGGTCTTGCAGAACTTAGCTCCGACCGCATGGACAGTTTCCACGAGCTTGTCATTCATATCGTCCACTGCATTGCAATCTTCTAGGCACTGAAAGCGGTTACGTAACTCGAGCTGAAATGTTTCAGGGTTCTGGATCAGAGCACGAGGGGGACGGAGCGTTAACTTCATTAGACGAGACCTCTCCAACTTAACGCTTAGGTTCAGTGTGCCTCTAACCATTCGGTGATCGCTGCCAGTTTTCACCCTTGCGATCACTGAGACATCACTGAACAGTTCGCGTCTGGTCGTCATAATGAAGTCAATCTCATTTTTTTCGAACCGTCGGGGCTCGACCAGGTCCACTTCCTGTGGGTCCGCTTCCGGACGAAAGAGTTCATCATAGAGTCCCTCTTTCTCCATAAAGTCGGCCATCTGCTGGCCCCTATGGTTCCGTTGCCCTACTCCAAATTTCCCTAACTTCAGCTCACCGCTTTCTCTTGTGCTTAGTTTTGCCGTTAAAATCTCCCATCAACACCGTGTAGTAGGCTTTGGAGGAATGCATGGCTCTAGAAATTCCTCATACATTTCCTCCACCTCCTCATCGGGATGTGCCGAG